ATAAAATAAACATGTTTATTTCTTATATAAAAATACAACAAAGGACTTATTTGAATCGATTTGAAACTTTCTTCAGCCCTAATATTGTTGAGAGAGAATGGGAATCTTAGAAATGGAGGGAGGCATTTAGGGTTAGAGCAGATATGGATGTGACTCAAGGAATCATATAGTAGCAAAAATAGATATATATAGTCAACAAAGTCTTTTCTCACTTCACCCACCTATCCATCTCATGATTCCTTTTCCTTCAAACCACTGATTAAATAATTCAATTCCATTCTAAAGGTGGAATGGCAATGGGAATTGTTTCCAATCCAAGTGGAAATGAATATAAGGAATCACTGTGAAAAGCATATAATATATTGCGTCTCAGTCTCATGTATATATTCCCATATTCTTCTGCCACTAATTGTACGGTCAGCCGGCCTTGGCAATGAAACAAGTCACTTCAACATTCATATATATATTACATACATATATATATATATATATATATATTTGGTTCATATCCAATCGACGGTAAATACCCTACAAAGTCAACAACCCAGATCTTGTTTAATTTAATCCATCAAATTCATTCTGTTGATTGGGTTCTAGTGGTGAAATGACCCCTTCTCTTTCCTTTTTCAGGTGCCAATTGCTTTTGCTTTTCCATTGTAGCCTCATAGCAGCAGCAAAATTATGTATTTGAATGCATAATAACAATAAAAGATAGGTGTTTTGAGTTACCTTACCTGGACCCAACAGACATGACCAGTTGTAGGGTTCTCTGCGTGCATCAAATTAGTAATGGGGTGACATCAAGGTCTGTCAGATAAGTTACCCTACCAAACATGCAGGTTTTCAGCACAGCCTTTCAACAACTTCAAACTGCTGCCACTGCGCAACGTTGATTCAAACATCATTGCATATCACTTGCCTCCTGATGTTTTTCATGCTATAAACATCATTTTTTTTTGGTTTTTGCTTGTGGAGGTGCAAAAATTAAGCCCCTTACCTATGCCATATATATATATGCATACACCATAAAATAGCATATTTGACAACTCCACTGTCAACGATGTCAAACAAGAAGATCAGTCTACAACTAATTATGTAAGTATAATTGGACATTTTTCTACCTCTCAAGGCAAAGCATAAAGCCACTAAAAGACAGGAGGAATCCATGGAATTAATGTGCATTTTTTAAGAATTTTTTGTTGCTAATTTAGAATCCGGGGCCTTTCTCAGTTATCAAACAATATAATTGGTCAATTCATCTTTCAAGGAAGATGCCTATGCTCAACACTTTCGGCCAACCAAATAGTTGTTCATAGAACAAATAATTAGGGTATCAAAGGTGGTGGTTCCTGTTCCTCCTCTTTAACGATGTGCCATTACCATCCATTTAATTAAGCTCACATGCCATATAATAATGCCTTCAAACTTTAGGACAGCGGTCAAATAATCATTTTATTTTCTAACCCCCAAAGGTGTTTTTGTTTCGTTTTTCATGCTTTATTTGCTTGCTGGCAGGGTCAAGTGATCTCCAGGCTCATATCAGCTTAGTCAAAATTGCAGCAGAAAGGAAAAGCATCATGACATGGCGACTTCCACTTTGGATCAGTTTTCTTTGTATGATTGATTATTTCTTATGCAAATTCCATATATATAATAAATTATATTGAGGAACATATATATATATATATATATGTCAAATGCATGTAAAGATATTATATATATATATATATATATGTGTGTGTGTGTGTGAAAAAGGTTAAAAGACTAGCGCATATACCTCCAAAGTTGTGTGGGTGAGTGGAACAGACTCTAGCTAGTAATTGACCACACCATAAACTCCCCGGTGGGTCTCAAATTTAAATCCCCTTCCCCATTAGCCTTTGGCAGCCTTTTCTTCTAAAGTATCTATGCAGCCTTCTGCACAATGAATTGCAGCAAGTTCGAAAGCAAATGCCTGTCATGCACTTTATTGAAACTAAAGAAAACTATTTGAAACTCATGTGACCCATCACGTCAAAGAAAGGAGAAGGGGGAGAACCAAGCATCAATTTCCTTGTAACACAAGGCTCTCTGATTGAGAACAAATTCAGTGAGCTGGCTAGAATCAGACTCTACATTTATCTTCTGAGAGACGTATGCATGAAGAAGTTTAGTACAAAATCAATAAAGGCAGGCATGTGAATTAGTGAAAGAAGATTTGGGTGATAAAGTTGGATTGCAAGATAACCCAACTATTTAGAGAAGAAAATGCAGAAAAAGCAAATGGAGTAGACGTTTTTCTCTAAAGTTGACAAGAAATGAGTGGTAAAGTTATGGTTATAGTTTGTAAGATAAAACCATTCGTACCACGCCGCAAATGCTTTTAATTTTATAATTGATGTATATAAGATTGACGGCAAATGATCCTTCCCTGGCTTGTCTGATGGATACCTACTAGCTAGCCTTTAAGTGCCAAAGAAATTCCAATTCCTGTCTTCCAAGCAGTCTCTGGCAGCAATCCCTTACTTTCTTGCCAGTGACAGGTCTACATATCGGAGAGCCTTCCATATAATTAGCATCTTTGGTTTCTACATTTCTGCTGTGAAATGTTGAAAAACAATACAATCAGTTTACATTAGGGCTAGCTTTTCGGATTTTTGTGCAGAATTCCCTTTTATAAACGATTCAATAGAAATATTAATTCCGCATACATACATACATACATACATACATATATACAATCGTATATATAAAATACTACTATAAATTAACGGATCGAACAATCACAATAGCAAAGGAACAAGATTTCACTATAAATATATAAAGTGTATCAAAACCTAAATTAACCCAAAGCATGGATTGATATAATAAAGGAAGACATGGTGGCTTGGAAAGTATTTGCTTCCGCAAGATGGCAAACAACAAGACAGGAACGTTAATCCCTGAAGCCAAGTATTCACAAGAAAGCCTTTCTACTTTCGTTGTGAAGTCATTCACAATAATTCAAAGGATTTGGTCTTTCAAAAGAAATGAGAACTAATTTGAAGAAAGTACGGCACCCGTTTGCCACAATGACTTCTGCCTTTTGCATGGAGCTTTTGTTCTTTGTTTTGGATTTTTTTTTTCTTCTGATTTTTATATTTTAGGAATTAGTTTCACTAAAAACATACTGTCACTCTTTAGAACAACATATCCATCCAAGTTACAGGCCTCTCTGTTTGAAAATGGGGAAAGACTTTTAATTCTATACATGGAAAGATAATGACTTGAATCGGACATGGAACACCGAGAAATCCCTGATTTAATACTGCCTTAGCTCATTAATGGCATCACATAATCCTTCTCAGACGAAACAAGTTACTCGGTGATCACATGTAAATCAAAGTTAAAAGATATCTCAAACATAAAACCCAGAATTGGTATTAACAGGAACCAGAAAACAATGATGGATTGGGGACAAGAAGGCAAGTTGTCCTTTCTCTTCAATGAAATCACTCGCATAATCAAAATCAAATCACAACAGTTCCAGCTGCCTAACTAATTTCATGAAAAGTTCCTTTCACCAATCCAACAATAATATAAAATAAAATAAAATCACAAAGTGGCCAAGACCAGTGTGGTCCACACTCCACAGAGAAAAGGAAAAAAACACAACAATATCTAACATACTTGATGATTCTACAATGATAGCACATAAAAAGTTTTCACCACAATTTCTTTCGAGAAAAACACCCAGCCTTGTATTTTGTTTCTTCCTTTTTCTTCAGTTTGGATAGTGATGCTTCATCAACCCTTTCATGTAAACCTTTTCCTGCCCTTCATTTTCTGACCATTTTGTCAACCTCAAATCCTTGATAAGAAATGGTTGCATAGATAGGTAGGGTTTGTCCACACTACATAAAAAGTCATGTTCCTTTCAAGCCTCCCAATGCAAATAACAACTCTAGCAATAACATAGGGCAAAACTGTGTATGTCTTAAGTTAGTACAACTCTAACCCTAATTTTACTACCCAAGGCTTTTCTCAGTAACAGAGCTCACTACTTTCGGAAGCTTCACAGTTTCAGAGTGGGAAAGCTTTGCTTCATAGAAAGTTGTGGACACCATGAATTGATTAATGTATAATAAGAAGTTTCTCAGCAAAAGAGATTCTCATGTAAAGATGGTAGGGCACAAAGATTATCTTCTGAAATGTACATTTGCTTTTAAAATCTTTTTAAAAATATTATAGTCTCCATGCCTGTCATTTTCCCATTTCTGTGTTCCCACCATTTTCTTCATGAACATTAAGAAATTCAACACACATGCAAAACCAGTGGCCACCAATCAAGACACAATGATGTGATTACAAATATAAATATAATTAGTTAATTATATCTTTTCAGCTGTATCTTTGATACAACCACTTAGCAAGTGCTCTACATATCCTTTGGTTTAAATAGGAATGAAAAGATTATTCAACAGTTAGTGTGAAGACCTAGGCACTCTAGGCTTAAGACATCTCTATAATATATCAAAATATTAAGGCTGAAAGCAGTTGAAGCACTTTGACTAGCTAACTAAACCTCCATAGTCAGGGCCTATTGGTCTACACAACTGGCTACTAGAAGTTTCAATAGCCTCAGTTACTCAGTAAAGTCTCAACCAGATCTTGAAAACTCCCCTCACATTATTTAGGCATATGCCAACTATTCAGAAATTTCCATTTCAGTCACACTACCCAAAATTTGTGTGCTCAGAAGGTCCCCCATATAGCAGTGAAAAAAACTCAAACCTTCTCTCTCAAACTCAAACTCACACACACAAACACACATCGCACCACATACATGCACATGCTAAAAGCCATTGACTGACCACATATGGTTCCAAAGCGTGGGGTGGTTTCTATCCCTAAGCTGCAACTGCAAGAACACAAGAAAAAGAGACGAGATAGCTAATAGAAGGACAAATCCACATTTAGATAGGCATAAATGAAATTGCAACCATCTGGTAACAATCACACATCAAAGTTAAACAGTGATCTTAACAAAGAGCTGAATCAACTTGACAATTTATTGACCAAAAGATTTAGAGAAGCATCAGGTAGAACAAAGGCAAAAATAAGAAAAGTCCCATTGTAACGACGCACAGATTACATTCCTATGGACTGCTACATCAAGTAAAAATGAACGTAATAGAAATTTGCGACAAACAAAATGAAAAAGGTACCATTTACATCTCACTTCCATTTGAGGGACTGCCTAATTCCTGTATAGATGAGTCCTAATGACCTCCCAATCAAGCAAACTAGAAAGAATGAGATGGCACTGCTGACTTTGTTGATAATAGCTCTAACTATAGGCATGCTAATGTCGGAAAACTCAAGGAGTAGGCTGAAATAGTACCTCCTGTAATGAGCAAAGCAAATATTAGGTTTAAAACTATATCCGAGTTTATAACCATTAAGAATCAAATAACACCAGCAACATGCAGCAAGATAATAAGATTTGATGTACAAAGTCACAGTATTCAGTTAGCAGTAAAGGAAGAAATATTGGTTTTCTTAATCCTTACGTGTATATATTACACTAATACATACTATAATAGTCCCTTATTCATTAAATATTTATGTAAAAGATTGGAAGAACCTTTTTAGTCATATAATATGTGCCTCTTCTATCCCTAAAATCCATGCCTTAACTTTAGACAGAACTACTATTTGATGAAAATCTGCAAAAGTTCAAGCAGACTTTAGGCGTCGCTCATCACTGATAGGCCAAGATCACAGACACAAGGTTTTTGAAGTTCAATCATCATAGATAGGACAGACAATAACATGCTTGCACATGGCTTTGCAATATGTATATACGCATTCATGTATCTATGAGAGTATATTGTCATCAAGGCAATAGCCTTAGCCACCAACTACACTTTTGTCATTTCATGCCTTCTTACTGCAGTTATCCTTGTCAGAATTCAGCATGATGAACATTCTCAATCTGCAGTCCCCCTAAATGCCAACTATTGATACATAGGCATACCCTGATGGAATCATTTCAGACTATTCTTTTTCCACTCCACCAAAGCATGTTTATTAGCAAAGCTTTTGTAATCGCCCACACTATGTAAGATAATACAACACCTTCAAGCCCATATTCAGTGCTGAAAAGCTAATTTAACCACTCTCGAAGAAAGTTATAGAAGAGGGGGCATATCAAAGCCATTGAGATTAACTGGTGACAAAAATATGAGAGATAAGTGCCATAGAGTCTCTTTGTATCTAAAACATTTCAGGATTATTCTATAAGATAATATACATCCACCAAAGGACTGTGACTAGCAATGTCTGTAAGCAGGGAAAATTATTTATAGAGGGAAAGAGTATAGAAAACATACCACCCTGTTAAGGCTCTTAATTCCTTGGTGCGTTTTACAGACATAGAGAAATGGCTTATCAGAACATAATGTAATGAAGGTGACAAACTTTCATATTTTCTTAGGGTAAACTTCTTCCACCAACTATAAGTTTCAGTGTCGTCACTGCTTTTATCCTCAATGAGTTGGCTCTTAAGTGTGTAGAGGTCAAAGCGATCCTCATACATCGATACAATTGCCTCCAGATTTTGATACCACCACTGGTTTAAAGCGACCTGATAACCAGCACATGTTTAAAATCTTGATGAAATTATAACCAGAAGTTCCAATCTCCAGCACCAAGATCTATAGTGCATTACAACCAACAATTTTAAATCTCCTCAATTGCATATATCCAAATTATCTCACTCAATAGCCAAACAGATTCTAAAACGAGCACCAATATCACATAAAAGTTTTAAGAAATTTCTAGTCTGTAAGAAACAATTCCCTCCTTACCATACAGCTCATCTGAATGAGAAATTAATATAAATAGTATTGAATTGCTCAAATTAAGAAATATGTCTTCGTGCAAGCCTTATACTTAGCATCTGATTGTACATATTCATAGCATAAAATGAAACAGTTTAACATATATGCATCTGAGAGAAGCTTGAAATAACATGCAAAGGATAAAAGGGAAATAAAAAACATAAAAAGCCTTGAGGATTTCTGCCATAAGCATCGTCATCGACCTGCTTAGGACTAGTTTGGCATTGCTGTTACAGTTGGAAAAAAGCTCGAGTTGGGAAAAGTGTTTTTGAAAAGTGCTTCGAGGAATTGCTGTGAAAAGTATGATTTGGGATTTTTGAGTGTTTGGCATTGTTGTGAAAAAGAGTTATGATGAGTTAAAATGTATGAAAAGGGCATGATATTGAAAAGTTAAGAATGAGTCATTTTCTTTACTTTTAGGTAATTATTGTTAAGATGTACCAAAATATAAAGTATTGTAAATTTTAATTTTAAAAGAATGTACACAAAATGCAACTTTAGATTTTCTAAAAATTAAATTTGCTTCAAACTAGAAATTAAATAGTTATATTCTCACCATATTTTTCCTTTGAAATTCACTAAATTTTATTTTACATTCAAAATGTTTGAATATTTAAAAGGGTAATTTAGTCATTCAGAAAATTTTGAATGAATGGGAATTTTGGCTATTTGATACCAAAAACTACTTTTGACTAATGCAAAAGCACTTGCGTCCAAAATTGCTATCGAAAAGCACTCTTGGAGCTAAACCAACACGTGTTTGGCATTGCATTTGGGCCAAAAACACTTTTTGCCACAATGTCAACTGCGCTCTTAGTGCCTGTACTAAGTCAGTATACCTAATACGCTCAATCAATCCATCCATCAACCTCACAACTAGAACCCCCATTCTTTTACTTCCAGAAGAACAGTACTAAAAATATATGCTCACAAACTGGTGCAATGTAATAAGGAGTTGAAGACTAATAGGTGTTACCACTAAACCCAATAAGAAAAAGAGCGATACCTCATTGCGCAACCTTTGAAGTGCACGAGTAGACAAATTACAGATAGCTAAACCCAGACTATTCACTTCATCTGACAAATTGCCATCAACAGAAATAAGCTCCAAATAAGTGCTTGCTATCCCATCTGCTAAAGTTATTACCAAATCTTCTAGTATGGAATCCCCATATAAAGTAAACAAGCTTTGGTCATAACAGCAACCCTTCCTGGAAAGAACAGATAAATGGGACAAATAAGTTTCTCAACAAAGATTAAATATATATTGACAACACAATCTAATGCGAATTAAAAGTAAAAAGCAGATGTCAATGCCTACATAGATTGTACCCAAAATCTAGTTATCCTCAGACAACATATAACGTGTAGCGGTAAATTTTATAAATACAGCAACAATTTGAGATTCAAATCTTTTTGTTGCTGGCATGATTATTCTCCCAAGTCAGGACGATACCTAACACGCAATCATAGGTTCTTCAAATAAACCTCCTGTGAACAACTATTAGTGCAAGTTACCTTCATTCAGTTCTTTATCTAGAAACAACTATAGAAACCAAGTGAATTTTAACAGCCAATTCAAGGCATCCTATTCGACAGAATATGATTAGGGTCAGCACTCATATTTACCAATAAATCTAGTATTACTCTAATCGGTGGATTGGTCAATGGAATATGATACTTGTTAGAACCATATCTATTAAGATTTATAATTCTTAAAAAGTACAGGCATGAAACAAGAGTAACCAATCTTTTGAAAGAAATTAAGTAAGGGAAAAACAGATTTCAAAGAAAAAGAAAGCTAAGCAGCCAGTTTCCCCAAAACCTATTTGTTCTATCAGTTGCATAGTTTTCCATGACAATAGAAAATCTTCTACATCAAAAGTCCAGGAGTTTAGGGGATCCAAAACTTTGGAAGGTTAAAATGTTTCTCTTAATATATTGGCTAGCATAAAGGGCCATCAAGGCATTTAAATCCCACAGCTTGGAAACATCCAGGCTCATTTCCTCTGAACCATCGCAAAAGCCACTTGTTTCATGCACTTTGAAGGCCCCACAACTGAAAGAGATTCATAAGCAGTTAGGGCTTAAACCAGAAGAGGGAACTATGAATCCAGCAGCCTAAGACACCTATTATACATTTTCAAGAATGATTTAAGTGGAGATTGCATACATACATGCATATATATCTTCTAATCAGTATTACCCATAAATTAGGATACATAGATGCATAAAAATTACCTAGAAATTGTTTCTAGAGAGAAAGAAACATTTAAAAAAACTATGGATGCAACCAATGATCAGATTAGTAGCCCAGAAGTTCTCATGCAGTGCACTAAAAGCAACCGTCACTGCCCAGAAATTCATATTCTACAAAGCTCTTGATTAACCTATGAAGATATAAAACATATAGAAACAATCATCTTTGAACAAACTACAATAAACATGACAAAAGACAGAGACAATCACAGTTTATTTTACCTTAAAGAACCAAATCTAAGAAAATACAACATCTCTGCATACAGATTTTCCTTCCCCGACTTTCTAATATTTTGTAAAACTGTGTCGTCTCCATTTAACTTCTCAGTTATCAGAGAAACAAGTTCCTGTCAAAAGGGGGAAAGAAAAGGATATTTCATACCAACAAGCTAACAACATAGAAATCATACGTTATCATAAGATTTTTTAGGTACCATATTATTGCTTTCGAGTCCAAGTTCCTTCTCCAACCAAGCAAAGCATACCGGCTTACAGGATTTTTGAATAATTCTGGAAAAGGCTATCAACCAATCATCCATATTGCCAGTGTCAGAAGTACCAACATTGTTTTTCACCTGAAAAACAAATTTTGAAACCTTCAAGCAAAATACAAACTTAATAAATAAAAAATATTTATACCCTACTGATTAAGCCTGCAGTGAGGTACTTTACTACAAAAAAAGCATGCGAATTTTCCATTTAATAAGATCAAAATGATAAATTTATTTATTAAAGTTCCCTGCTTCAAGACTTTCCTTATTGGAAACACAAAAATTATTATAAGAGATGACCCCTTTACTTGGTATCACAAGTTGGGATCTATGAATTCAGAAACTCACAATTTACAGAATAACACCAAAAAGCAAAGACTCTTCTTATGCAAAACTCAGATATACTTTGTGGTCTATGAATTCAATAAAAACTCAGTAACTCGTCCATTATCAGGGAGTTAAATATACCTTGTTTTAGTCTTAGGTTATAAATTTCTGTCCTTAATACAAATTTAGAATACAAACATACCACAAGTTTTTGAGAAACCTACATTTCATCCCACACATTATTTGCTTCTAATAGACCTTTTAATTTTGTATATGAAAGATGCAAAGCAGAAAGGATGGTCTCACAGCAGTCAACTAAAACATGGAGTTTCTTTGAAAATAATGAATTTATACAAATTAAATTCAATATAATGAAATAGTCAAAGTAACTAGAGCATTAGGAACCAATAGAGACAGTGCCTGCCTCTTCCTCAAGTTGGCGAAGAGAAGCCCAAAGCAATCTAATCTTTGGACCTTCAGATACAGCATACAAACTTAATGGTCGCTTAGCAAGTTGCTGCTCATCAAGAACTCCAATTCTGAAATCACTCCCACGTTCAATACTGTCTAGAGAATCCAAAAGTTTTCCTCTTACTACATCCCAGGCATGCTTCAAATTATTTTGGTCACAGTTCGTCCCGGCACTGCATTTATAAAGTAAATATATCCTCCCTAAATGAGAAACAAAGCATACACATGCCAAATCACAGTACTAAAAATAATGTACTACTGTTCCATGATCCACGTATAAGGGAAACATTCATTGGATTTTAAATATTTGATACGCTTACCCTTACCTACCAGAAGAGGTTGAGCTTTTGGGAAAGGCATCATCATCAGCTATATTCTTTTGAGATGGGGAACTGGACTTTTGAACAGGAATTACTCCGGCCAGATATGCAAGAAATATACTAGCCATCAAAAGTACTTGATCACCGAAAGGAATCCAATTAGAGGCTGTTATACCATCAGAGTCCACTAAAGACCACATGCAAGTAGACCTCAAGGACGTCTCCCTGAAGCAAGGACTTACTTTCAAATACGAGATAAATGGATTGTCAGCGTTGTGATTTTTCCATCTTGAAAGCCAGGAAACTTTACAGCTTCTATAGGAACACTTGCTAGAAGCAAAGCAAAAAATGCAAAAGTGAGGCTAAAATCGAAGCTAATAGAAAATTTTCAATGGTAATTGTAATGCCTAACAGCAGAGAAAAATTATGCAAGTATTACACGCATTGCAACTGGGAACTTGGCCTCATGTGCATGAAAAATTCTATATGGATGTGCTAAATGGTCCGCATTGAAAAGTGGGTGGACAGAAACAATGACATTGTATGCAAATAAAAAATAATTTACAGGTAAAGAGTGATGTCGCACATTCGGATTAATCGGACTGACACTCTTTCAGACTCTTTAGCATTTCTCAGTCATAAATTGCAAATTCAGTTGTCTTCAAAGCCGAAAAGGTGCAGTTCAAGCTACTAGATAGACTATACGACCAAGGTGAGACTTCTTCCAATTTGGAAATTTTCGAAACTTGTTACAAACAAATATGAAATCACATAAGCGATCAAAAAGTGGACTACCGTCTCAAACCCAAATTTATCTTCCAGAGAAATCACGAAATGTCAAATATGAAAATAAAAAAGAATACTAAAGGAGCGAAAAAAAAAAGAGAGATATACCTCAGCGGCGTCCTAAAATTCAAATTAGGATGCACAAATCCTCTCTGCTTAAGAAAACTTGGGTGCAAATGCGGCTTGATGCATGAGGATGAAGCTGCATATTCCGCCATTTGATAAAACAAAAACAAAACCTTCCGCAAAGCAATCACCACATGTCCTCTTACATTTACCAAATCAAATCCTACACAACAGAGAAGATGGCATTGGAGTGCTCGGAATGTCGCAGTTAGGGTTAGGGTTAGGATTTATTTTGAAAGAAATGGTAATACAGTTTGTGTTGTTATGATGGAGAACGGGAAGGAGATGTGGGAAAGGAAGAGGAGGGAAAAATGGAGATGCGATAGGAGGATTGGGAATGTGCGAACGTAGTTGTTCCCGTCTCACTTTTCTTATGAATACGAATACGATCTCTGTTTTGTCGTCCCTACGCTTCGCATAAACTCCTAATAAATAACCGCCAATTATACCAGCAAAAATACTGATACATACGGTTTCTTTGTTTTCTTTTTTTTTAGAAAAATACGTTTAAGTATTGGAAATATACATGATTAAAATCCAAAAAGCTCCTTCTAGTATTTCTATAAAGACACTTTCTTCTTATTTTAAAATAATACCTTTATCTTTTGATTGTTAATACTATTAATAACCTGTTAAAAAATTTAAAATCAAAATTAAATTAAAATTTTAAGACACAAATATCTATAATATATTTAAAAAGAAACTCTAAGGACTTTCTCATTATACCATGTGTAAACTTGGACAGTGACCACGATTTTAAATTAGATGTTTTAAATTTTCAACAGAGTTTGTAAAAGAGTAAATACATTACTCACGTTTGAGTCAAACTAAAAAAATAAAGAATTGGTGTTAATGAGTGGCCACGTCCAACTTGAATGGGGTTTTAAATCTCAAGTAGTGTTTCCAAAAGAAAACCTAAAATTGCCCATGTGTGTGAGTAAAACTAAAAAATGAAGAATGCTCTTGAACAATCCTTTGATGATCGGTGTGGAGGGTCAACTTCGACCCTGTTGGTGTTTTTCTGTCCATTCCTATCCTATGCTCTTTTTACTCCTCAGGTTGACTTCGTTGGACCTGATCATGCTCCATTTTTTCAACTTCCCTTATTGTCAGCTTGCCCTCAAGTTTGATCAGTCTCCTCAGGTCTGTGTTATATTTCAGGCTTGTCCTCAAGTCAACTTTGGGAAAACTAAAGGATCATGAATTTTTAATATTTTTTGTGGATTTCAATCAAATGGTTTTGGTTTTTGGGATTCAGTGCTATGGTTTGGTTTTGAGGATTTCATTTTAGCCTTTGAATTTTGTACTGTTAGTCGACGTGTGCAGTCCAAGATATATGTCGTGTTTGGCTTATTTGGACCTATCATATCATATCTCTGGCTACTCCTGAGTTATTGCTATCTAATCTTTCTGGAGAATCGATTTCCCACTTATTTTTTTCTCATTCTTGATCTTTTGGCATTTGGGTTCTTTTTGTTTTGTGTTTTTGCACTACCTGGCTTATCTTCTCTTCACTTTAGTGTTTAGGAGTTCTCAAGTTAGAACAAGTTTTGAGTTTAGGGTCATTCCTCAAGCCTATTTTCTCATTTTTTGGCTACTTTAATTTAGCTATTGTTTATGTTCTTTATTGTGATTGCTTTATGGAGATAATCGATTATTGATTGCTTATTTCGATTTCGTTTGTGTGTTTTTGCACCACGTTGCTTTTCTTTTCTTCAATTGAGTTTTTACGAGTTCTCAGATTTAAACAAGTTTTGAGTTTTGGGTTGTTTTCCAGACATGTTTTTCCTTTTTGTTACTGCTTTAATTTAAGTGTAGTTTATGTTCCTTTTTATCATTGCTCTATGAGGATATTTGATTATTCACTGATGTTTAGTGCTTTCTTTTTGTCAAGTATGGAACTTAATTGTGTTCTTCAATATTTTTTACACTTCGTTATTATTATTGCTCTGCTGTTTCCTTTCATTTTTTAAAAGATTGTTTGGTAGAATTTATTTTAGTTTTTTATATTTTATATGTATGTAATCATTACTGATATTAAACAACAAAAGAATCATCTTATGGGTTCAGATTGAATTCTCATGCTAACTTAAATTATTATTATTCTTTTTCCTTTTGGGGTTGTAGTGCGTTTGTCAATATAAAATTCTCTATTGGCATAAACCGCTCCTAGAAACTATAATGTCTTTTGATCACATTAAGTTTTAGTCAGAGTATTTTATTTTTTGCTCTGTCATTTTAATTTATTAATCCTTTTTCTTGATTAAGTCTCCACAGTATTGCCTGACCAAACTATTATAAATTTCATGCCATATTTTCCTATTATCTACATGAATGTTTCACCTCTGTTTTATCTATAGTTTTTTCTTGCATGCTTAGATTTAGTTCAATAGTATTTTCTTGAATTTTTTTGGTTATATGGTGCATATCTTTAGATTTGATTTTTTTCATTTACTTATTTGCAAGCATGAGTGACAATTTGGGTTCTTTTATCCGTTAAGGGAAGAATTGGTCGTTAAAGGAGATTGAGGAGTTATGCAAAACCTTTCTTTTTTTTCAGTAATGTTTATAACCTTTCCTCCTATTCATATATTCTTTTTAAGGGGGATTTAAGATTATTGATTGCATTTTATGTGGATGTCATCATAACTTATTTTCATTTTACAATTTCTCCATAAATGATAGATTTTTTTAATTTAACAATTTTTCATTCTTTTACTGCCTAAACTTATGAATTATCAAACAGTATCCTTTTTTTTCTTATTTCCATCTGGTTCTTATCATATATTATTCTTATGAATCAGGTATTGCTCATGCTCTTACAATTTTTTGTAACATTTTAATACATTGATAATTAATTGTTCTTCTAGGTTAAAAATGTCTGACCAATATCTACTCAGTTTACGTCCATTCTAGCAAGATATATTTATGAAAGTGGGGATCGTTTGATCCTTCCCAACTTGACACCTTGCTTAGCCTCAATATCTTAGCTACTAATGCCTAGGTATAGAACTTTTTGTCATACTTCTAGAATAAACCAGTACATGTTAAATAAGTTGACATTAAATTCATTCTCTATTATTGGCTTATAATTGATTTTCTCTACTATTACACAAATTATGAACAAAGAGGTGCAATGCATTTCATGATCTGGACTTCTAACACACTATAGTTTTGACTTCAACTAAAAGAAAGTTGTCTCTATTCAATAAAGAAATTCCAAATTAATGACAAAAAGACCTTTTTCAATCTCATTCCATCAAATATTATGGGCATCTTTATGAAGAACACTATCATTCAGCCAATTCAAGATGACCTAGATGCATGCCGTACAAGCTTTTTTTCTTTTGCATCTATTGACCAACTCAATTCCCGAATTCACAATGGTACAATTTTGGCAAGTCAAATTGTGTTAAATAAGTCTTACTTAAACTTTGGATTGAAGTAGTTCATCAATGATCATATTTAACTCTCATTTTTGCTAATTGTTTGCTGATAAATTTTATCGGAGCTCTAAAATCAATCACCACCATTGAAAAAGTCTGTTTACAAAATCAAACAAATGATGTGAAGAAACGCAACCTTTATATAAAAGACTTGAAGAATGAAAAAACTAACACTTCTTTATATTTTGAGTTCTACATTATCTCATAAATTATTCGTTTAAATTGCAATGAAAATACCTTGAAAGTTATTTTTTATGGTGACAAAGCTGAAGCCATTAACGAAGATGAGCTGCTTAACAATTTCATTAGTCCGATTTTAGTTGTTGTCACAACAACTGTCAAAAAATACATGTATTAGTTTTTTGTGCTTATGAACAGTTAAAATGGTATATTAAATCAACTTTTCCTTTTACTTTTCTTTGTTGATTTCAGGCACTACTTACCTTGCTTCTTGCTTAGCGACAAAGTTTTATGTGGACCTTGATATTCCAAAAACCATACTACATAAGCAAAGGTAATGTTTGCACATAATATAATGATCAATAAATAATCGGTTCAATATTTTCTAATAGTACATTGATATGCAGTTACGAAAAAGAGCCATTTAGTGTGCAAATCATTAACATGCACATGTCCCCCCACCAATTCTCAACAAAACCAAATGAAATCAAAGACTCAACCCTTGCAGACATTAGCAATGTTAATCCAACAAAAGTCTAGGTAAAAAGATTATTCTTCGCATCATTTTAAGTGAAACTGCAATAGAGTATATGTAGTAATAACTCACAAACATTGTAGGAAACCAAGTACAGAATCAAACTACAATTGTTGACATTGATTGCTCAAATGGTTGGTTCTACAATTCGTGCAATGACTGTGGGATGGCTCTTTAGATTTAGGTTGGCAAATACTGATGCACAAAGCATGAGGAGAAAAACCCTTGCCAATGTAAGTAGATCAAAGAACTTTATTACATGTCTTATATCCTACTATTATCATTTATTGCATAAAATCCTGTAAATCTATTGTAGGCAAATTGTTATCAATATTTGGGATTATAGAGCATTCAGTTTACATATTGCATCATAACCCTATACATAACCTACCATATAATTCAAATTGGTTAAATTTATAAATTGTAATCATTTTAAAATATTGCCCTTCACATCAGCAGTAATTTTCTTTAAATGTTGTTATTAACATTTCTTTCATATTGTCATCTAGAGATTTGTTGTTGACAAAATATACAGTGCATTAGATGTTGTTGAGAATTTTGTTTATTCATTGTATGAAATCTCTATACATAACCTCATTTGTTTACAACTGATTATTCTTATTATGAACTTTTGTGCAAATCATAAGTTATACATAAGTTATTTCAGATACTGCATATAACTTATTGTCAAAGACAATAGTGCACAAATGAGTTTAGTCACATTTGGTTAGCTTGCAGAAAAATTGGTTGGTGCATCAATCACCAAACTAGCAACCCTTCAGTCCATCAACTGGATGATGCTACTTAGACCACTGAAAGCATTGATTGATGTTTGATTCTACTGACTTTAAGAACCAAGAATGGTACATTGTAATTACTGCAACTGCCTTTGGATTATCAACACCTCCACTTCTGACTTTAGGATCGTCAACATTTGAAGCAATAACTGAAGAATTAGAGGAGCAACTTTTACCAACCCCAATTAAAACAGAAGTTAGTAGAGAACTTTTTCCAGTATCTGCACTTAAGAAACAGCATGTCTTGACCAAAGGGAAAGAATCGCCAAGCAAAAAATACAAGACTAGGTATGTTTCATACATGGCTCCATTTTTTCCAACAAAGCAATTCTTCAGACTAAGTTACTGTTACTTATTAACACCTTTGCTTAGCGCTCAGAGTAGTTTATTCCATTCGTTCTTATAGAAATCTTTTTGCTGTTGAAACACTATATTATCGAGT